GTTGTCAAAACCTGGGAGGGACATCTGCTGCTGCTTCTTACCAGAGGGAGGCAGGGGGAGAAGGAGGTGATCTAGGCTATAAAGATCTGGCTGCTCTGAACTCTTGGGAGAAAAAAAAGGCAAGTACACCCCATTGAGAGCATACCCTCATTTCTCACCCTGCTCAAGCTGAGACCAGGCACTTCTCTATGTCCTGAGTTACCTACCTTGTCCTCTCTCTTCCCCACCAGTAAGCTGCAGCAGCATGGCCTCTTCCCAGGCTAGACAGCTGTTGGGTGATGGGAGGGTGTATATGTGTGGAGCTAAGTGCACATGTAGGATCCTGGCCCACATGTCCTGTCTATACACTCGTAAATCTAACTTTATAATCACAAGAATCAAGTAATGGACATAATTGTTTGTTAACTCCCCATTATCCGAGTCTTTGTTTTCTTTCTGCTAAACCTTTCTTTGGAAAAGGAAAACTACACAAATCAACTTCTACATGTTCAGATTCATGAACAGAACTGAACAACTTTATACAAAGCTTACTTATTTATATATGAAACTAATGGCATATGCTTTAAAATGTTTTGTCACTTTGGGCAATGGTTTTCAGCCTTTTGTCTTCCAGGTATATGCTGATTAATTCATTTTATGTATATCCATAGTTTTCCAAGTGTGTTGTTGTGTGCCTTCAAGTCATTTCCAACTTATGGCAACCCTAAGGAGAACCTACAATGGGGTTTTCTTGGCAAGATTTGTTCAGAAGAGGTTTGCCATTGCCTTCCCCTGAAGCTGAGAACATGTGACTGCCCAAGATCATCCAGTGGGTTTTATTGCAGAGCTGGGAATCGAACCCTGATCTTCAGAGTCACAGTCCAACACTCAAAACCATTATACCACGCCGGTCCAAATGAGGACCCAAAAGAGCATACAACATGAATTCAAACTAAATACAGCCAAAAAAACCTCCTAAGTTATATATTTTTTAAAGTAACCAAAATAATTAAATAATCTATATTAAAACCAAGCTATATTAAAACCAAACCTCATGGATTCTCAGATAACAGCAAAATGCACCAACTGGTTATGTGATCTCCACACACTCACCTATGTCAGGGATTTCTAAAGTGAAGTTAGCAAGGGGAGATGCCAAAAAGCATGGCTCCACATTTCAAAAAGCTTGAGATATCAGATTAGTTAACCAGGCCCTGCTTAAACGCATCAGTGACAAAATATCTCCAGGTTTGTTTTTGTATTTATTTACCTTGGGTCTGTTACAGTTGGCAACTATTCTAATGATCCTTCTCTTCAGATCTTCCATGTTGGGCATACTTAACCTGTTTGATACAAGAAAGAAAGAGTGTGGAAAGGGGAGGGGAGAAGCACTAGTTAGGTCTTCCACCAAAGAACTTTAGTTTGGACATTGAGTCACACAGTAAGTCACATCCTTACCTTGGAACAACATCTTTTCCAACAATGACTGAAACAATAAACTGCTTACTGTAGTCGGCAAGCGATTTACTTGAAAAGAAGGAAAAGACAGAACCAGGTAAGTGGACAGCAGGCTTCAGTTACCAAAACAGTCATTAACAGCAAGAGCCCTTTTTACAAGTGCTATAAATTACTTTTAAAAACACCATCAGTAAGACTCAGAAAAGATCTGTAAGCAAGAGCAGGTCTTTAAAACATATGGCCTCAGGAAAAAAATATGGATGTATGACATTGCTATGGTTTGTATTACCTCAGCCGTATTTTCCTGTTTTTGAGAAGCTGGAATCAACAAAACATTTTTAGGAATGCAAGATTAACTGCACTCACACCTTGCAGCAAAATTAAGTTATAAGGTAACGCTTTTAATTTTCAAAGCATATACTTTTTTTGCACAATACTTGCACATGTACAGTATAAGCGTTGCACATATGCAGACACTGGCCTGAGTCCTGCTATTAGCTCCAACTAGAGCAGACGCATCACACCATTTCTGCAAGACAATCCCTAATTTGGCATTAACAATACAATTCGGACCATTGTTCTCTAATGTGCAATCCCAGCATAGGATATAGTTAATACAGAGAAAAGGAGCTTAGGAAATCAGTTGTAATGTGCTTCTACCCACTTATGGAAGTCAGCAAAGGGTTTGAAAGCCATACTGCCTTTTTAAACTGACTGACAGTCCACATTCAATTTTAGACAATGAAAACTATCTGTGCATAAACTTGTTTTGTTATTCTTGAAAACAAACATTCTGCTATCAAGGCCCATCTATTTTTATGATTTTTAAAATGGGCTATTCAACAGCATTGTGTTCTTATCCTCCCTACCCTTTCTGGATCTAGAAGGAAAGATGTGGTGTGCTAAACAAAAGAATCCAAAATAAAGTAGAGATATTGTAGACTTTTACATTAAAACTGTGTTATGATTTACCTTAACAAACCCCCGGGTGGAGAAAAGGCATAACATTTTAGGTTTGGGAAAGCATTTTTGAGCATGATAGCCAATATGGAGGCTGTTCCACCACCTAAGCTGTGTCCAACGACAACCAGTTTATATTCCTGGAGATTTAAGAAAAAACAAAGCTAGAACAATGGTAGATATCCTCATGAAATCATCAGCTCAAGTGTTTTTGTCAGGGCATTAAGACAACCACAAAGCCACAACTTACAGGAGCAATGGTAAAGGCTTGGTTCAAAATTCCATCGTTTATTAGTCTTCGGTAAATGTAGTTGGCAGCCTGGGTTATCCCCTAGGAGACAAGATTTTAAACTGTCACAAACAGTATCTCCTTTGACAACCTCGCCAAGATCCTGCATCGTCAGACATGAATACGACAACGGAGCTCAATCACTGTAGTTATGTCTGACAATGCTATCCTCCCCCTCTACCTTGTTAGTGAGGCAGTGCCTAAATGAAAGGGTTTCTGAAAATGGGGTGCAGGGAAATGAAGACTGTAGCACTCTCCTGGTAACAGGGTGCTTTGAAAATAGGCAGCTGGCGATACCCTTTGGACTCCCACCGCAGCTGCTTATCTCAATGAGCTCTGTAACTAGGAAAACACTGCAAGCACCATTTCCCAGCCCCATGATCTGAAGTGTCTTGGAAACCCTTCCACTGGAGTTCTGCCTGGTTTTGGGGTCACATTTGTTTGTTAGTGATCATAAATGTGAATCCAAAAAGTTATGAGATCATAAGTCCAGTTTATGATCCCAAAACTTCTGAACATAATCCCAGCCTCTGCATGAAGTACATGTAAGAACATAACAAAGGGCATGCTGGATCTGAACAAAGGTCTACCTAGTTTAGTATTGGTAGGCCAATCAGTTGTCTATATGGGGAAGCCCATTTGCAAGACAAGTATGGAACTGTGGACCCTCCATCTTGCACTCCCCTGCAACTGATGCACACAGACATAGAGCCTCTGATACTGGAGATGACATGCAGCCAGACTAGTAGCCACTGATCACCCTAACCACAGTGAAATTTCATTAATCCTCTTTTTGTGCTGTATTCAACTGCTATCCAAGTTGATTTGAGATATGATTGAAGGAAATATGGGACAGGGCCTTCCAGGTTTGTGGCACCCAAGCCAAGGAGCATACTGCTACATGAGACCCAGTTGCTTCCCCTTTTCTGTATCTTCAGATGTGGGCAAAATGTAATCATCTCCAAGCCTCTTTTTAAGGCCTCCAAGCGTCTTTTTAAGGTACACAACTCCTCTCAGTTCTTCATGACATCTTATTCTGATCAAACAAAGGGATAAGATAATAATGGATGAAAGCTGCACAAAGAGATTCCACCTCAACATTAGGAGGAATTTCCTGACAGTAAGGGCTGTTCAACAGTGGAACACTCTCCCTCAGAGAGTGGTGGAGTCTCCTTCTTTGGAGGTCTTTAAACAGAGGCTGGATGGCCATCTGTCGGGGCTGCTTTGATTTTGAGTTCCTGCATGGCAGAATGGGGTTGGACTGGATGGCCCTTGTGGTCTCTTCCAATCTATGATTCTAAGAAGTTTCCAGGAGTGCCAATTCACCGACCTGTTTAGCAACCCTTAAGCCTGCCACAGGTCCTCACTCTGTCCTGTCCTCACCCCTCACTTTGAGCAGTGGCTAAAAAAATATTTTCTGCAGACAAACTTTTGAAGCAGAGGACTCTGGGAGGTTTAGCATCTGCCAAGTTTAACCAGCTGCCCATTTGTTTTGCCTGTCTAACTTTTGTTTATTGTTGCTTTTATATTAGATATTATCTGGCTTGAGGTTTTTGTTTTAGGAAGGAAAGGAGGGGTATAAATATATATTTTTAAACAAATGTGTTGAGGCTACACACAGAGCATCACATCTTCTTGCTAGTTCTCAATTACTAGCACCTAAGCTAGAAGGGAGAAAAACACCAGCTTTCCCATCAATTCCATGATGCTGTCCTACTTCACCTAGGAGCACTCATTTTTAGTTTACCAAGTCAAAACACAAAAATATATTTGCTGACCTTATGTACCAAACCATTTTCCAGGACATCTTCTAGAGTTAGGTTTTCACAATCTGCCGAAAGGTCTGTGAGTATATCCTGAATATAAAACAAATGAAACACAGATCAATCATTTTCATTGCCTGAAAGATGCACCCAGGACGACTGCAAATGCCTGTAGGCAGAGGTATCTTTCCAAAGATGACACCATCTTGTATCAGAAGACAGAGGATTTTATCATCAAGATATTCTCTGGAAGGAAGTTTAATAAATAAAAGGGCAGATAGGACCAAAAATGAAAGGCAGAGAAGGAAAAAACAAAGACAACTGCCTCATTAGATAAAATATGGAAAGAACTGTTTGCAGTGCAACTGATACATCTAGTCAGATGACAAGAAAGCAAGGAACGGAAAAAGATAGGTAAATATTATAACTGGAATTAATTTGTGATATTTTGGTTTAGCTTACTCATTTGAACCAAACCATTTATTTTATGGTAGATGCTGAAAATGTATGAAGTAAAAAGAAGTTAATCAAATTGTGGTCTCTAATTCTAGAATACCGCATTAGATTTGTTATGCAATATCACTTCTTCAGAAATGTAATAGATATGTTTAAACATAGTGGCCTCCACTACATCAGGCACATGTACAAAGTTACCTAAAGTCTGGCACTACTAAGTAACCCACTCAAAATGCTAAAAGTAGAAACTGAAATAGGGGTAGAACATACAAGTTATATGTATATATATGCACTGTAAATTGTCCATTTGTATAAATATAAACCCAAATGATTTTTGCATAAGCCTCTCATTTATTAGAGGGTTAGAGGTCAATTACTAAGATGTGAAATTCCCATCTAGATTCACTAACTTTCAGGCTACTTATAACATTCCAGAATACTGTATATACTCAAATATAAGTAAATCTCATGTATAAGTCAACAGCAGGTTTTGGGGTCAAAACTATGGATTGTGATATGACCCTTGGATATGTTGAGAGTAAGACTTAGGGTCATGTAACAAAGGATCTAAAGGATGGAACAAAGGAAAACAATGCCAAGAACTTATTTCTAGACTTATACATGAGTATATACAGTAATTATTTTCACAAGTCATTATTTGCAAACATCCTTCCAAATAGTAACTACAAAGAAACATAATATAAGCCTACCTCAAATGACAAGGTTCCTCTCACAGCTACAACAATAGCCTCTTTTTTGTGATCCAAAGCGACAAAGAACGGTATCTCAAAAATCTGAAAACAGAGAAGTATGATATAAGAGCCAGCCTGGTGTAGTGGTTTGAGTGTTAGACTAGGATACTGGGAGACCAGAGTTCAAATCCCCACTTGACCATGGAGGCCCACTCAGTGGCCTTGGACAAATCACACACTCTCAGAGGAGGGGAAGAGTACCACCACCACCCCCAACTAAATTCTGCCAAGAAA